CACTATACATTATCGAGACCTAATAGGCAACAACAGAACATTCCACCCAACAACTATAAATTATGTTTTTCTCAAAGTATTCATATAACATTCTTCAGTGTAGACTGTATCTTCTGCCATAAATCAAACGCATAAAGCTTAATATGTTGAAATAATGCAGAAATCAATGATAGAAAAAAGTCATTAACATAAAAACTTTGGAAAGCTCACTGTAACTTAACATACTCCTAAGTAACATGAAACAAAAGTAAAAGTCAAAATGAAGTAAATATTCGCAGAAGAGTAAAAAGGTACTGCATCCCCAAATATACCATACTTACAGGGGTAAGTTTGAGCTACTAATGCTTATATTGAAATAAAAAGGAGAGTCAGGTGCCCCTGTTTCACACCTATAATTTTGGTGACTCAGGAGGTAAAATTTGATGAGAAGCAGGATTTGAAGGCAGCCTAAACAGAGACTCTTACCTCCAATAAAGTACTCAGAAAAATCCCAGAGTGGATTTGTGGCTGAAGTGGTAGAGCACTAGCCTTGAGCACAAAAGAGGCTCAGGGACAGTGCCCAGAGTTCAAGCTCCAGAACTGGCAAATGAAAAGAAAAAGAAACAGAAAGGAGATCTCACATAAACAACTCCACATTTCATCTTAAGACACTAGAAAGAAAAGCAAAGAAAGAAATTAGGATTATATAAATTATTGATAAACAATTGTATATCAACAAATTAGGTAGTGCAGATGAGGAAAAATTCTAGGAAGAAACACCATAAGTAGACAATCTGGATAGAAGTATATGAAATGAGTTAGTAAGTCAATACCCACAAAGAAAAACCCAGACTGGACAAATGTAGAGTGAATTCTGCCAAACATTTGAAGAGCTAATATTTTTCACAAGCTCTTTCAGGAAATAGAGCACAGAATGCGTCTTGTCTCATTTTATTAAATATTTATGATGTATTACTCTATGAAAACCAAAGGTAGCATAGGGAAACTGCAAGTCAGTATTGCTATGATTATGCATATAAATATCCTCAATTAAATATTAGCAAACTAAATCCCACAACACCTAAAAACTGGTTATATGTGGTGAGAGGAATTTATCCTGGGTATACAATACTGGTTCAGCACCAAGTCACTTAATGTAACTTACCAGGAAAATTAAAAAAAAAAAAAATTAGGAATCATCTCAACTAAAAAAACAGATTTGACATAATTGAATACTTTTTCATGGTAATAACTCTTAACTAATTAGGAATAGTGGGATTTCTGCAATCTGAAAAAGAGAGCATCCATAAATACTCAAAGCTTACCTTCTAATTCATAGTGAAAAAGACTCAGTACTTTGCAGTTCAAAAACAAGGATGTATCCACTCTTGCCATTTCTGTTTGACATTGCAATGAAGATTCTAGCCAGGGCAGTCAGGACAAAAAACAGATTGGGAAGGAAGACTAGTAGTATTTGTAGAAGACATGATCTGTATCAAGGAATCCATTTTATATCTATTAGAACTAAAATGAGTTCAACAAGGTTTACAGTATATATGATCCAAGTACAAAGATAATTGTCTTTTTATACATTTGTAGTACAGCGTCCAAAATACAATGAGCGGTCTCATTCACAGTGTTCTCAAAGGAATAAAATAATGAATGTAACAATGGAAATGTGAAACACTCTGAAAACTGTAAATATAAAACATCAGAAAAAGTTAGACAATCTAGATAAATGAAAAAACTACTGATTCTGACAAAATGCTGAGAAAAGCAAATAGAAGTACTTGTGTTTTCTTGTTTGGAAGTTTATTATATACCCAGCAGTAATAATAAAGGCACTGTGATACTTGACATAAGATCAGATAGTCTAGACATCTAGACCCTTGTGTTTTTTACTTGTTTTGGGTTTGTTTGTTGAAACAGTCTTTAGGCATAGCCCAGGCTGGCCTTGATGAACCTTTGCTTCTTCCGAGCCTTTCCCTAATAAGTGCAAAGATCACAGGAGCATACTACTGTGCCCAGCAATATGCCTAGACCTTTTTTTGGTTTGTTTTTATGGTCCTAGGTTTGAACTGAAGACTTCACTTGTGGCTTGTGGGTATATGTTTTGTCACTTGAACCACACCTTCACCCTTTTTGCTTTATTAGTACTTGGTTATTTGGGGAAATAGGGTCTTATTTTTGCTCAGGCCAGCATCAAACCAGGATTCTCCCAATCTGTGCCTCCTGAGCAGCTGGATTACATGTGTGAGTCACTGTACCTGTCTGTTTTGCTTTTTCATGTGTGTTGGTTTGAACTCAAAGCCTTGCCTCTTGACATTGGCTAGACCTTCCAACGAAGAAAATATAACAAAAAATTCAACCACAGTCCTGGGACAACTAGATAAATAGTTTCATGTAAAAAAAGAATGAAACATTACAGAAGTGGAGGAACATTGACTATTATTTAATTATTATTTATTAATTTAATTTACTGACAAGGGATAAGAATTCAAAATGACTGGGCTACTTATTTGGCAAACAATTTTCAATTCAGCTATGAAAGCCATAATTTTCCACCCTTATGGTGTTTTTTTGTTTTTTTAGCAATTACTGCTCATAAACATGTACATGTAGGATTTTTATCAGTTATTGGAAATAAGAGGGTAGAAGGAGACTTTCTGAATTCCTGAACAATTGATACTGCAAACTGTTACACAAATATATTTTTATTACTTGTAAAGGCTTCATGTATTCTAAATTAGTAATTACAATTAATGCTTAAGAATTCTAAACTTGTTTCAAATTAAATATATTAACTACACACATACATTTTCATCCACACACCGAAATAAGATTTATCAAAAAAATTATCTAATTCATAGAACTTACAACTCTGACTTGTAAATATGATTTTTCATACATTAAAATTTTATGCCATTTCTAAGTTTTGCCTTGTCAATTATAGAACATGGCAGTATTTCTAAAACATATAGTTGCCCCTATAATTTTTTTTTAATTACACAGCATACCTTAAAGTTTCCATAAACATGTGTTGGAAAATGCATGCAATAAGTACCTGGCATAGAGAATGTTTCCCAATCTAATCGTGTTCCTCCATTCCTGAACCTCTTATCTCTCTTAAACTTTATACCATATATGTAGCCAGGATAAGTATGGCTGGCAGGAGGTGTACTCATTTTGCTTTTCTCTTCCCACTGTCCATTCAGATTTATCCTGCAGCATTAGTTCTTCTCCAGCTCTCTGAAAGGCAAGCCTTAATAATTGTCCTGTGGTCACTTTCAGGAAATAATAATTTCCAAGAACTAAAAGTTCAGAGTTAAAGTTTCCCACTTTTTTACCTCAGGCCTTCTGTAAGCTTCAGTGGAAGTACAAAGTTTGGGATGCTTTCTTTTTCTTATATTGTCTCACATTTACCCCTTTTTACTTTTTTTTGTCTGTATGTGTCTGTATTCTGGTTGTGGTTTTTGATCCTTCCCAGAAAGATTAAGAGATAGGGAGGCTAAAGAAAAAGAAAAGATCCACAGTAGCACTAATAGCAGCAGCCACAGCTATATTGATGTTTCTGTAGAATTATTTTGCTGGTTACTATTTGAAGCACCTAACAAGTATTAGATTGCCAAATCCTCAGAACTCTGTCAAGTATGATAGACTTAGACAAAAGACAAATATGGCTATATGCATTTTCCTTGAAGTAGAGTAGTTGAGAGTGGGGTAGAGTTTGAAACTAACAACATTGGTTATTCCTAGCAAACCTGTTCTAATCTTTTAATACCCCATTGCATTTCTTTCAAATAATGCTGTTTAATTTCTTGCCTTAATACCTTTGTTTATGTAGATTGTCCCTGGATTGCTGTTAAGGCATGTTTCTTTCCTTAAGTACAGTACATTATCCCAGTAAGCACTGACAGCCTGGCTTTAAAAGCTCAAGCTAATTTTCTGGGATACAGACTCCCATTTCTTTGAGAGAAGAATGGTGAGGAATGATGGTTTTTGCAGACCAATTGTCTTATGGCTATTTCTTGTCTTCAGGAAGAAAATATGGAGTGAGGTATTGTTGTTTTTAGCTGTCTGTATTGACTTTCTACTTTTTTTTCTTTCTTTCTGTCTGTCTTTTTTCATTCTACAGTTGAACCAAGTTTCAATCCATTCCATTTTACAATTGGACCAAATTTTAATCCATTCATAGGGAAGTTCCTGGAAGTTTATATATAAGCTGTTATCACGGATTATGATCAAGTTGATTATTTCCATGGCCTCACTTCTCCGTCTTGGCAAAGGGTTTATGCCCATTATCCTTTTTATCATGTTGTCAGACAGGGACCAATCTCACCTTCCATTATTTTTTTTTCTTTCTGCCAGTCCTGGGGACTGAACTCAGGGCCTGGGCACTGTCCCTGAGCTTCTTTTTGCTCAAGGCTGACACTCTACTACTTTGAGCCACAGCACCATTTGCCTTTTCTGTTTATGTGGTACTGAGGAATTGAACCCAGGGCCTCATACATGCTAGGCAACCACTCTACCACTAAGCCACAATCCCAAACCAATTAAAAAAACTTAATTTTGAACTCTTTTTCCCCCCCCTCCCTCTTGGATCTTTATCCTTGTGCATTTTTCTGTTAATATTATTTGTGGAGTGATTATGTAATGGATTGTTTAATTTTTCATTGGCATCTCCTACTGCAGTCTCACATTTAGAAACAGATAATCCCTATGGACAGGTATTTTGACATTTAGTAGATATCAGATATGAAACTTTTTAGAATAGTGTCTGGCACATAGAAAATACTCGATTTTTAATTATTTGTGAACTTTGTTTAAAATTCTGCAATATATAGACACCACTGGTTTAAACAATTAGGAAAATGTATTTTAATTCATTCCGTTATTGAAGTTTTTCATTACTATCTTTTAGCCACCTCATTGAGCACTGTGGCCATAAGAAAATGTAAATCACCTATTTCAACTACTAAACCATCATTTAATTCTTTATTTTATGTATTTTTTTTAGGATATTTCTGACTCATTTGCATCCTTGAAGAGCATCTGTAGAAGAGGAAGGAAAAGATGGGTGTGAAAACATTTACTCATAGCTCCTCTTCCCACAGCCAGGAAATGCTTGGAAAACTAAATATGCTGCGAAATGATGGACATTTTTGTGATATCACCATTCGTGTCCAGGACAAAATCTTCCGGGCACATAAGGTGGTACTCGCAGCTTGCAGTGATTTCTTTCGCACAAAACTTGTAGGCCAAGCAGAAGATGAGAACAAGAATGTGTTGGATCTGCATCATGTTACAGTGACTGGCTTTATACCTCTTTTAGAATATGCTTATACAGCCACTCTGTCAATTAACACAGAAAATATTATTGATGTTCTGGCTGCAGCCAGCTATATGCAAATGTTTAGTGTTGCTAGCACCTGCTCTGAGTTCATGAAATCAAGTATTTTATGGAATACACCTAATAGCCAACCAGAAAAAGGTCTGGATGCTGGACAAGAAAATAATTCTAACTGCAATTTTACTTCACGAGATGGAAGCATTTCTCCTGTGTCTTCTGAGTGCAGTGTGGTAGAAAGAACCATTCCTGTCTGCCGAGAATCTCGAAGAAAACGTAAAAGCTACATTGTTATGTCTCCTGAGAGTCCTGTAAAGTGTAGCACACAAACAAGTTCACCCCAGGTATTGAATTCTTCGGCTTCCTACACAGAAAATAGAAATCAGCCAGTTGACTCCTCTTTAGCTTTCCCTTGGACTTTTCCTTTTGGAATTGATCGAAGAGTTCAGCCTGAGAAAGCTAAGCAGCCAGAGAATACTCGGACTTCAGAATTACCTGGCCCATCTGAGGCAGGTAGAAGAATGTCTGATTATGTGACTTGTGAAAGCACAAAAGCTACTTTGCCTTTGGGTACAGAAGAAGATGTCCAGGTCAAAGTAGAAAGGTTAAGTGATGAGGAGGTCCATGAGGAAGTATCCCAACCTGTCAGTGCATCTCTGAGTTCGCTGAGTGATCAGCAAACAGTGCCAGGAAGTGAACAAGTCCAGGAGGACCTTCTGATTAGTCCACAGTCTTCCTCTATAGGTATAATTCTTTTTTTGTTCATGATGTTACTATAATCAATTACAAGGTACAAAAAAATTGTGCTCAGTCCCATAGGAAACAAGAGTAAAACAAGGTAACTGATTTCTTTTAATATAGTTAGAACTATAACTTGTTTTTACAAATTACTTATTGAGAAAAAAAATAGTTTTTAAAAATGTGATGAGAAAAAGGCAAATAGCTTAATTAAGAATTTTATTTATTTTATTTTATTTTTTTGGTCGGTCGTGGGGCTTGGGCGCTGTCCCTCAGCTCTTCAGCTCAAGGCGAGCACTCTACCACTTGAGCTACAGCACCACTTCCGGTTTTCTGGTTTATTGGAGATAGGAGTCTCACGGTCTCTCCTGCCCGGGCTGGCTTTGAACCGCGATCCTCAGATCTCAGTCTTCTGAGTAGTTAGGATTATAGGCGTGAGCCACCAGCACCCGGCTTATTTTTTATTTTTGAGACAGTCTTGCTTGTGTTGTCCAGGTTACCCTTGAACCTAAATCTTCCTGCCATAGTCTCCTGAGTGTCTGAGATGTACAGCACCATGCCTACCTGTGAATTACTTTAATTGCATTAAAAATTTTTTTAATTACTTAGAGCCAGGTTCAAGCCTGTAATCCTAGCTACTTGAGAAGCAGAGATTTTGGGGATTGCAGTTCAAGACCAGCCCATGCATAAAAGTTTATAAGACTTTATCTCAATCAGTGGCACAGTGGTACACATCTGTCATCTTAGGAACAGAAGGAAACGCAAATAGGAGGATCATAGTCCAGGCTGTCCTAGGTATAAAGTTGAGATAACCAACACAAAGAGGAACTACTAGAGTGGCTCAAGTGTTAGAGTGCCTGCTTAGTAAGCATGAGTCCTTCAGTTCAAACCCTAGTACTGTCCCCCCTCCCCCCCCAAAAAAAGAAAAATCCAGTTAGTGTTTTCTTCATTGAAATATTTCTTGAAAATTTACTATGTGCCAAACATGGTGATACATAAAAGAAAAACAATAAAGCAGTTACTCTAATTGAAACAAATATGTAAATAAATGATTATAGTCGACTGTTTAAGATACTAGGCTAGGTACAACAATGGAAAGAGCCAGTAAGTGGGGAATTTGCCCAAGCAGGGGAATAGCATTTCAGTGAAGGCCTGAAGAAAAGCACAGATGTGAAAGAGAATTTTATGTTTGGTAAGTGGAGAATTGAATGCCAAGTGATATGAATAAAGCATGGATGCCTTAAAGTATGGCAACTAATGAGACAAAAAGCAGGTAAGAGAGTGGGTGGAAAGAGCCTTGAATGCTAGTTCTAGTTAGGACTGCATTTGACTTTACATAACAGAATCCTTTCTAAAGTGGCTTTATAGAACTGGATTTTATTTATCACTAAAGTGTTCAGAAATAGGAAGTCTAAAATTGGCACCATGAGTCTGTAGTGTAATCAGTGGCCTTGTCATGGTATAGTCATAACGTACCATCTTTAGCCCTTTGGTTTCATCTGTATTGTATGGCTATAAGATACTTACTTCATCATTAGCTTTGCATTGTATAAAAGAACAGGGCCTATGAGGAAAGTTCACGTACTCCCAGAATCTCCTTAAAACACCAGGTATGTCAGGGAAATCTGGGGAGTAATGATTATTGGTTGAGTACAGGACCACCTGAAACAAAATAAGAGCAAATATCCAAAAATGGATATTGGCATGCAAGAAGCAGTACCCATCGCAGGTAGGTCAAGCAAGCTTACTTAGATTTTTATCTTTTTAGTAGTAAATAGTCTATCTTAAAGGAAATAAGAAATAAAGTTTGGTGTTGGCATGCAAGAAAATTTGGCTATGCAGAGACAGGCCCAGAAACCAGTTACACCGATTGGTATAACTGAAGAATAAAACTTGAAAGTGGATTTTGTTCAATTTTATAAAGAAAGAATCAATACAACTGGATAATATTGAATATGTATATTCTAGGGAAGGGAGTCAAAGCACTCAAGATAAAATAGTGATAACATATTTGATTCTAAGTAATAATTTTTCACAGCTTACCTGAATCCAGATATATATTACACTTGATAATCCTTTAGTTACTTCTCAATGACAAACACACAAAAAAATGCTGCTCATATATAAAGTTCACTATATAAGTTTCCAAGGGCTAGTGTAACCATAGTAGTTTACAGCAATAGAAATTTATTAGTTCAGGAGGGCAGAAATTCAAAAGCAAAGTGTCAGCAAGACTTTGTTCCTTTTTAAAGCTTTTCAGAGAAGGACCTCTTTGTTCTCTAGCAGTTACCAGCAATCCTTGATATTCCTTGGATTATAGTTTGGTTACTCTAAGTTCTACCTGTTTCTTCAAATGATCTTCCTTATGTGTCCATGGCTCTGTCTTCAAATCTCTCCTTTATAAACACATCAGTCATTGTTACAAGGCCTACCCTAATCTTGTATAACGTCATCTTTTTTGTTTTTTGGGGGGTGGATTTTTGTTGTTGTTTTAGTTTGGTTTTGTTGCTGATTCTGGGTCTTGAACACTGTGGACACTGAACTGTTTTTTTGCTCAAGGCTAGCACTCTACCACTTGAGCCACAGATCTGCTTACAGTTTTTTGGTGGTTAATTGGAGATAGTCACACACACTTTCCTGCTGAGGCTGGCATTGAACCATGATCTCAGATCATGGTAAGATTATAGATGTGAGCCACCAGCCTGCCTCTTAAAATCTCGTCTTCATTATATATATAATGAAGGACCCTATTTGCAAATAAGACCTCATTCATATTAGCCAGGGAAGGAATTCAGCATATCTTTTTAGAAGACAAAAGTTTCACGCACAAAGTTGGTATTCCTAAACTTGAGTCAAGATACTTTTGAAGAATTTCAGTGAACACATCCAGTGAAACATTTAACGGCAGAAAAGTATTAAAATGATTAGTTCTGTGACCACATTTTCATTTACTTACCTGAGCTTTGATCTTGAAAACATCTTAGCACCTTCTGAATAATGAGTAATTAGTATTTACTCATTTTTCTGAGAATTTAGAGCCATCTTTTTACTTTATTTTTTTCACCTAAAACTTTTTTTTACTGTTACCATAAATGTGATATATAGAGGGGTTACAGTTATATGTCAGGTAAAGAGTACATTCCTTTTGTGGCAGTGTCACCCCTTCCCTCAAGCCCAGTTTTTCCTTCCCATTCGCATCCACAAGTTGTGTAGTTCATTTTCCACGTAGAGTCCAGTGAGTGCCATTGCTGCATTTGTTTCCCATTTGTCTCTCGATTTCTGTGCCTCCCTTTATACTCTAAGAACATATAAACAAACAGGACAACAAAAAAGAAAACAAAAGCAGCAAAAAAAAATCTTGTTTTCATTTCCTGGAGTTCATTTGGATAAATATTATTTTGAAATATTAAATAGAACCCAAATATTAATCTACCTATGTTGCTAACTAGACATATAAAATACTCTTATCATTTATATTTAATTATTTAATATATTACTTAGGTTCTTAGTAGCATTCTATAAAGAATTTTATGGCCAGGCACTGGTGGCTCACGCCTATACTCTTAGCTACTCAGGAGACTGAGAGCTGAGGCTCTCAGTTCAAAGCCAGCCTAGGCAGGAAAATCCTTGAAACTCTTAATCTCAGTTAACTACCAGAAAACTGAAAGTGGCACTGTGGCTCAAGTAGTAGAGTGCTAGCCTTGAGCTAAAGAGCTCAGAGACAGCGCACAGGCCCAGAGTTCACGCCTTACGACTAGCAAATAAAAATTAAAAAAAAATTATGAACATAGTAGAATAGACTTTTCAGTTATAAATAGATTTAAGATAATTGTGGTTCTATTTTAACCTGGTAGGAATAACTGATCTGAGCACCATATAATCAGGTATTCAAAATGGTATTTTTTCTTTGCTTTCAAACAAGTGTACTAATCACAATTACCTCAAACTATCTTAACTCCTAATTTGCACACTAAAAACCATACAATCGCTATAAATGATTGGAAGAAAGGTAGAAAGATATTCCTATCCTATTTCATTTTACTTGGTAACTAATTAAAGAAGATACTGAAACATAGTATCATTCCACGGACTAATATATTCATCTTCCTGAAATTCTAAACTAATTTGATGACTCATGAAATTAAAGTTGAATTGTGCCTGTAGTTTTAAGATTTTTTTTTCTAATCAGTTGCAGAAAAAGATTATAAAATCTAAACACTCTCAAATTAGAGCAATTAAAACAATAAAGCACTGAAAATGCAAAGGAGATAGGGAAAAAAACTGCCATATTTATATTTGATTTTATTATTCAAAAAAAGAGCATCAGGGCTGGGAAGGTGGCTCAGTGGTAGAGCGCTTGCCTTGCATGCTCAAGGCCCTGGGTTCGATTCTTCAGCACCACATAAGCAAAAAGAAAAAAGCCGGAAGTGGCGCTGTGGCTCAAGTGGTAGAGCGCTAGCCTTGAGCTGAAGAGCTGAGGGACAGCACCCAGGCCCCAGAGTTCAGGCTACACGACTGGACCACCCCCCCCAAAAAAAAAAGCATCAATGTTCTGTTGTTTTTCTGTGGTTTTGTGCTATTGCCAGTCCTGGGGCTCAAACTCAGGGCCTGGATACTGTCCTTGAGAAACAGCATCATTTCTGGCCTTTTCTGAGTAGTTTGTTGGAGATAGGAGTCTCACGGACTTTTCTGCCCATGTTGCCTTCGAACCACAATCCTCAGATCTCAGCCTCCTGAGTAGTTAGGATTCCAGGTGTGAGCCACCAGCATCTCAGCCTCCTGAGTAGTTAGGATTACAGTTGGGAGCCACCAGCACCAGGCTGTTTACTGTTTTTGATTGTGTGGTTTTTGTTGTTGTTTTGTCCAGGTCCTAGACACTGTCTCTGAGCTCTTTTGGTCAAAGCTAGTGCCCCAGCACCACTTCCAGTTTTCTGGTGGTTGATTGGAGATAGGAGTCTGATGGACTTCCTACCTGGGTTGGCATTGAACCTTGATCCTTAGCTCTC